GCGAATTGACATTTTTTGCCCCTGAGCAAAAGTGAGTAGTTATTCTCTAAAAAATCTAGGTAACGCTTATACTGTTCTAGTGATTAAAAGATTCGTTGTAGTTAATAATAAGGTACCTGACAATAATAAGATACCTGACTATGAAAAAATGAGTAGTTATTCTCTACACAAATCTAGGTAATGCTTACATTGTTCTAGTGATTACAGCATTAGTTGTAGTTAATAACAAGACACCTGACTATGAAAAAGTGAATAGTATTCGCTATACAAATCTAGGTAACCTAAACTCTTATAGTGATTCTTGAATCATTATAGTGAATGAATAAATGAGGGCAAAATGTCAATTCGCCTGAATTTCACAAATGACAGATTGGGTCAATGACCCATTCTGTCATTTTCGAAATTTAAGGACCCAATCTGACATTTCCCATATTCCAATGACCTTTTTTGGGATTTTCCCTTCTTTTTTTTTCTGTCACAAGAGAGTAGTATTTATAATCATCTCGCCAAAATCAATGAGAGGTGGTTACATTATCAATCTTCTTTGAATAATACTCATCTAGTTCTTAATATAAAACCTAATTATTGAATTAATATTGATTTTAAATATAAGACCTATTTATCATATTTAACAGTTTTTTTTTTAAATTATTCATGTTGATACTTCTTCAACCATAATCAAGTAAGAGAATGAGAGAGGATATTAAGGAAGATCATTATGATATTTCAGGAAAAACATATCATATTTTTTATAATCAACTAACTTACCTAACTTTCTTAATCTAATCAAATTAGTTAAATAGATATTATATTAAGGATTAAAGAAATATAATTAATATCTCATTATGTGACATAGAAATACTCTGTATCTTCGCGTACGGTGATGGTTAAGCTCTGGTAATCCAACTTCGACAACTTGTGTAGAGAGAACGGAGGTGTAACAATAGGCCAACAAGACAATAACTAATCGTCTAATCCTACTCGGAAGCCAAGTCATTGATACTGCCATATAATAATAATAATACAAATGTGTGCACTTGAACTGCTATTACATTCAAACATTTTTATATCAACTGTGTCTTAAAAAAATAGAAAGGGAGTGAAAAACCTGGTCCTGGTCCACTTTATTCATCAAACAAAAAGAATATAGTTAGCCATCCATTGGATGATAAAGAAGACTTCAAATTGATTTTTTTTTAATACCAAAAAGACAGAGTCATAGGGTCATACTTCCACGTAGGCTGAGCATGAATTACATTTTTTTCCCCCTTAAATCAAGGAACGCCAATGAGTAGCGACGATTGTGCATTTTGAAAACTTTGGAATGATCTGGAGGAAAGGGAATGCAGAGTTTTATTCATGTAGAGCTATTTTTTGCAGTTTAAAAATCTTAATAGTCACGTCTTGGAATGTAATTAACAGAACACTTCTTCAAGATTTAGCTTGTTTTACACATATTTTATTTTTATGAAATTTATTTAGAGGTCTAAAATTTATATGCCATGAAGGAATACTGTTTTTTTTATGAAATTTGAGATTTAATCGAGACGCCTTCCACAGTTTTCCTTTTGACCGCCAACGCTTATTCCCTGGTTTATTTATTTATTTACTTATTTGGGGTGTTTGGCACTACTCGTTTCGGCAGTTGATAAATACCAACTTTCCATAAATTTACTTACGTATAACTAATCAACAACGCATTTTTTCAAATAAAAAAAAGGCATCACTGTCACTAAAATAGTTTCAATGGACTTAATTAATATTACTACTTCCAATCCTAATTATAAGATTTCATTTATAATCTAAAAACAAAATCTTATAGTTGAGACCGGAGGTAATATTACTCATTTCAATCCTAAATATACAATATATAATCAACTAGTTTATTAGAATTAAAAAATAATCATATTCGGTGTCTATTATTGTTGCCGTGTACTCAAATGTACATAATTTTTCAAAATATCAATATTCTAAAAATCATATTAAATGTATGAAATATAGAGAGAAATAGTGGTTGGAGAGAGAGAGAGAGAGAGAAATAGTGAAGTTAATTAGAATAATATGAAAAAAAAAATTCTGGGATAAGTAAAAAAGATTGAAATTCTATTTTTTGGATTAAAACAAAACTTACATCTGGGAGTGGAGAGCATATAGATTTGCTTCGTTCTGCAAGTGCGCCTCTGTTATTGGTCCACGTGGCAATTTGGTACGAAACTTTTGAAAAAAGATGAAAGTGGATAATAATTGCTGTGGGAGTTGGAGTCCTATGAATAATACCCAAACAATAATGCGGTCCACGAATCAAACGGTGCTTCCTCATTGACCACTGACCAGTCCCCCAAGTTGGCTTCTTCCAAAAGAAACCTCTCCTTTCCTCAAAGCCGTGGTTCCTCAATTATTGATTTTTCATATATTGCCTTCCTTAATCATCTCCATTATCCTTTTGTCTTTGATTCTATTTTCTTTCTTTAAGAAAAGAAGAAAAAACGAAGCTTTCTAACTAAATAATTAATAAACATCTTTTTTTAAAAAAAAAAAAGGAACGGGGATGGATTGTTTGGTTTTGCTTGCACCCTTTAACTTCAAGCATCTGCAACAACGTAAGCATGATTGTCTTGGTGGTTGGTGTGGTTATATAAAAATATATATATATATGTGTATATATATATCTATGTGTGTATGTATGTAACATCACGTTTACCTATTGCTGAAATCAATTTAAGTTTATTAGTCTCATTAGCAACCGATGCATGCCGCGCCAGAGGATAATTCAAGATTTTGACATTCCTTTCGTGATTTCCTCGGAGCCCATTGAGATTTCTACCTTTTTATCTCATGAAGCTTGAATTCTTTCGACGTTTCTTTGGAACTAATCATGTTATTTTAAAGAATAAATAGATTAAAAAAAACATGGGAGCTGTACCTAAGCTTTGAATCCTCCATATAACAAGGAGTCCTTCGGCATAAAGAAATAATCACATACAGTCCAATGAGACTCATTTTTATGAATTTCACTGTTTGGGTTTGCCTCCCCCCCCCCCGCATCGCAAAAATTAATTAATCTGCTAGAAGGACAAATTCTATTTGAATGTATAAACTTTAATTGAAAATATGTTATTATTTAAAAAATAAACTAAAATCACTATCGATGGCAAAACAAGGATCAAGAGCACCCAAGCTTTCAATAATTTTGGCTAACAAAGCTGCTGGATATATGCAAACCAAAGCAATTAAAATGGAAGATTGTGTTTTTTTGGGGGGGGGGGGCGGAGGGAGAATCTTATCAGGCAGGCACGTGCCGCAGAAGAGGAGAAACTTATAAAATTGGAATTAGTTGCGCAAAGCGAGGATTATAATTGATTGGCACGCGATGCTTCAATGATATTTTGTTAATTTAATTAATAACACCACGTGGCCTCATGGTTGTGGGGGTCAGCTTCTCAACATTTGATTTGGTCAGTCAAGATAAGTTATGACCTAAAAAAGCAAACGAGGAATCAATATCAATCTACACAAAGCAATCATTTTCCAAAAACCAATCAACCCACAAAGCCAGCCACGTCACTCATTAATTAGGCATAATCAACAACGGTTTGTGCTAATCCCTCTTCATCCTTAACCACACATATCCAATTTGAAATATTTAATCTTTTTGTCACTTCCACAATACATCCAAATTGCCAAACTGCTGTACATGCAACCCTTTTTTTGGTTGCTTAGAATATCCTCCCACTCGAACGGTAAGAGACTAATCTCTTGGGGTACTGTCAGACGCCGTAGTGGGGACCTCTCTCAACAGTGTTTTTTCCATACACACCGCCTCAAGGATCGAACCCAGAACATGATGTTTAAGGGGTCCAAGTTCCTTCTACTTGGACCAACACTTGTTGGTTGTACATGCAACCCTTTGAAAAACCTCTATCCAGTACCATACAGGTAGGTGATTTGTGTTGGACTTAACATGCATAGAAATGATTTAATATTTGGATATCTCGGTAATTAAATAATGCATAGATTAAGAATGTTAGTTTAATTAGTTAATATGATATGTTTTTTCAAAAACATCCTAATTATCTTTTTTAATTTCTTCTTTTTTTCCCTAATGGAATATCAATAGAGTTAATCTAAAGAAAAAATTGATAAATATATAAAATAAGTCTTATATATAGCATCAATATCATCTCTCAAATTAAATATGTTGTTATTATTGAAAGAAAAGCGAACTCTATATTTCTTTCCACCGGCTGTAGAGTAACTTTCCAATGGAGTAGAGCAAAGCTTCTCGAAACGGAAAGAAGGGCTTAAAAGGGAGTGTCAAAAGAGAGGGAGACTTTCATTCAAACGGATGGGGAGGTCCTGGTTCTGAGGACCGAAAGGCAGAAAACAGCCAAACTTAAATTGGCCACAAAGAGATGGGTCTTTCATCTTTGAAAGAATCATAATGAAAAAGGTAGATGAGATAAAACCAATGAAAAAGTGATGATTATCCACAACTCCCAGACTTCTTTCCTTCTCATATGTAAGTATCCTCAAAAAGAAAAGATGCTTTTTATTAGGTCATGATTTCTTCCGGATGGGGCGTCTCGGTCTACATGCCGTTTTGGGGTTTCATGCAGGAATACCTTTCCAGCTTTACTTAACTAATGGGATATTGAGTCAGCTGTGAGGTAAGAAAAAGAAGGTTGCTAAGGATTGCATTTCTAACAGCTTATTCCATAAAGATTCCCTCATAGACGAAGTCGTCATAGGTTACTTATTCACCTCAAATTCATATTCCCACATGCTGAATGGCGAATGCGGTATATTCTTATGTCTTACACAGCACCCAATAGGAACCCTTCTGCTGCTTGTGCACATGTAGCGCGCACAAAGCCGAGAAAGAAAATCGCTATTCATATTGTATTACAGTGACAGTACCTGTTCGTGATGGTAAAAAACGAATCTTCGGTCGGAAATCCTTGAAAACGATTATTCGGGTACAATAAACCTGAGCTGAGGCATGAGTAACAAATTTTTATGTATTTAGATGAATATTGAACATTTATAGGGTATAGTACAAGCAAATAGCAAAACAAATGTGTAATTATCTCTTCAAATCAAATAAGCTGATAGCTAACATAATTTCAACCTCATTCGTTTAAGATTGCGGTGAGCTTGACGGGTCCCCATCCATACGTACAATATCTGATCATAATGGTCCAAATTGCCTGTTCAAATATAATTAACCAAAGGTGCATGAGTAATAGTTTTATAAATTTATTTAGTTGAACATCCAACATTTACTGCGACTAAAACAAGCAGACAAATATAAATTATCTGTGTCAATGTTGTGAGAGCTCATCCGATTTCAATTTCATATTTTAAGACTGCCATGAGTTTGTTGTTGTTGGTCTCTAGACCTACCCATATTATCTTGCATAAAATATGACCCTCTCCAATTACTCTATTTCATATGTTGGATAAGGATCATAGGCGTGATCAGCGATGACAGATATTTCAACGGCTGTAGCAGTAGTATGGTTAGAAAATTTGGCTGGTTAAGCATGCTGAAAATTACACATGGCCAACCCCAGGACTAGTCAAACACATAGAAAATACATAATTAGTTAATTCCCAACTACCATAAAGTCTTGACTGTGACCCCTGTAGTTTTCCACGTGTAGTTTACCTAATCTATTGGATTGCCCTTATCCACTGTCAAAATAGCCATCCTGCAGTTTCTCTCCTGCTTTCCAACAATGCCTTCTGCCTAACCTCGAATTATTCACTAACCACAATCACAAGTTCATCAGGCCTCAAGAGTCATGCACATATCTAATATCTTAGTGGCTATTGATAACTAAGATCCCCCCACTTTGAAATGGGTTTTCTTTAATTAATTCATGTGATTTGTTGACATATGATAGTGTCAAATGCATGTCGGGAGAGATTATCTTGTTCAAGTATTTTATTCAATAGATTAGCCATATAAACAACTAAGCTTAAAAAAGAAAAAATAGCGGCGAAATATAATATTCAAGCTGCACATGGAATAGAGAATTTGGAACTTGAATTTCGAATTGAAGTTCATGCTAGATAAGGTGCATAGTCAAGTAATGGCAACACCACTCTGTGTGGAGTGGAGCTTTAGAATGCATTTCTACATGTGAACTTGATGCAATCTTGTTAAATGAATCACGTAGTGCATGGTGTTTGCTGCATCACTTCCTACTGGAATAAGTTCTTGAAAAATGACACCAAATGTTGACTTGACCTAGAAATCCTAGGTTATATTTCCTTACCTTTCATGGAGCAGCCTTCATATGTATATGATATCGAATTATATTAAATAAATGAAAAATTTAAGACTACACTATAAATCACACATAATATGAAATTATTTCTATTTATACATATTCAAATTTTCTATAGATGGATTTTCATGCGATAGGAAAAATGGAGAAATTAAGATCACCTTGTTTACCTTCTTCAGTAGTCATTCACATAGTAACTAAAGGCTACTTTAACAAGTGGAAGCCCCTTTCACATCCCAATTTAATGTCAAAGAACTTCAACGAATGTGAAGCAGCTTAGCCATGTCACAGACGTGTCTGGGACTTGATCTCATGTTTTTGGATTTTTTTTCACTGTAACACAGATGTCCCAACACAAGGTGGGCTGCACCTCTGTTTCAATGTTAAAACACGTCCAACATGTCACAAGCTGCATATAAAGAGGCATAATTGCCATCTGCTCATTTGCTTTTAAAACAGCACCAAAGAAAGTTTAGAAAGGAATGAAAATCTGATCAGCACAATGATTAGAGTCCAAAACAAGAAGCCCAATACTACTAGATTACAGAGAATAAAAGAAATACTATTAATGATCCTTGCCTCCATTCAAGTGACCAGCAAAATCAGCTTTAAGTCCAACTGCAACCTGATTATTTTCGTACACAGTTAAATTAGCTCATGAATTTTTCAATAAAATGAAAGTACTCCCGCACAAGATTTATTGATTTACAGAAGGTGCATACCTGGCCAAGGACAAGAATGTAAACTAAGGAAGACCAAATTTATGGGGGGAAAAAAAACTACTATGTTCTCAAAGAAAATAGAGCGGAATTAAAAACTTCATTATGCCTTGGATGTTGAAAAAATTATCATAAGCTTAAATCCAGGTGGATGGGTAGATATAACAACCAATTTTCCAGGGCGATTCCTTCTGTGTCTACATTTATATGCCCACATTTTACTTCCAGATTTTAGGCAGTAAGTCAAGTAATTATAATGGCCTAGTGGGTTGATTCTCCATAATATACAGCATCGATCTAAAAATTAATAACCTAATGTCTAAACTAATGAATATCCACGACAGATGAGTTCAGCTCTAATCTAAAAGAGTATTCACTATGGTTAACCATGAGTCAGGAACAGATTAATATAGATTGCATGTCATGGCTTGTCAAGTGCTGTATAAGAATTTATAAACATCATATATTCATATCTCTTTCTTATTATAGTTGAAGTCTGGGTATACATAGAGAAAAGATACTATGCACCTTATGGAGTATACTAGGAACTTGATAAGATTGTTAGACAATCGTGAAAACCATCTAGGAAAAAACTGTGTCATCGGATTCAGCTGCAACATGAGACTTTACTGATCCAAAAGGAAAAAACCCCGCCTTTTTACTCTTCTAATCTCAGGTTGGCGAAGAAAATCTTTCTCCTTATCTGGTTTACTAGGTATACCCTTGATATTCTTTCCTACAGAATCACTCTCTAATTTCTTGTGCTCTAAATCTGTCATCTGTTCTTCAACTACTGTTTTCCAGAAAGCCAGGCTTGAAGCATTTCACTTGTTTTTGGTTCTGGGAGGAAGCCTTTATCCTGCATCTCATTATAATATTTGTATGCTTCCTCCAGCTTTCCATTCAGAAATAGCCCATGAATCAGTACAATGTAAGAGCTACGATCAGGGTTGACTCCACTTTCACTCATCTCACTCCAGAGCTTAAAGACAATGTCAAGCTGTTGCCATCGACTAAACTTTCTTATCAACATTAGAAAAGTCTCAGTAGTGGGTGACAGCCCGATTCCCTCATCTTGCCCAGAAGCTGAAATATTTCTTCATTGGTCCTTAAGATACGGAAGAAAGCATGATAAGTCCGAATTGTAGGAGATAGACCCCGCTGCATCATCTCATCTAAAATTTCTTTAGCTTCATCAATTTTGCGGGCTTTACATAAAGGATGATTAGTGAGTTGTAAGTAACAGTATCCGGAGAAATGTTGGCATCTTCCATTGTTTTCAGGAGATTGACAGCTTCTTTCACAAACCTACCCTTTGCGAGAGCATGAATGACCGAATTATAAACTTTCCTATCTGGAGTGATCTTGGTTTTCTTCATCCGGTCAAACAGCCTGAATACTTTGTAGAGTTTAGAAGACTTTGAATAGCAAGACATGATGCTTGCATAGGAGACAACATCATATTGGATTCCTCTCTTGCCCATCTCCTCCCAAATTCTCTCTGCATGACGTGGGCTACCAATCACATTACCCCATCCATTGAGAATAATGTTAAAGCTCTTGGTGTTGAATGGGAATACATTTTTGTTGCAGAAAAGAAGATGCTCAGCATCTTCTACGTTCCTGTACCGACAAAGGGCAGAAAGAAGGCCTTGAAATTCCTCCATTCCAACTTGAAAGTTGAATCGTTTATATGCATAGAAAGTACTTATAGCCTTTCCAACATCATGAACAGCACAGTATCTCCTAATCATAATCAGAAGAGTTTGAGGTGGGGGGGTGACAAGAGATGGAGCAAGCACTACTCGTCTCATTTCCTCAATTAAGGTCCAAGC